ACCTGCAAAATATCTTTTCACAAAATTATATTTTAGAAGATAACATTTTTAAATAACTGTTATGAGATACATACATAACAAAGAAATGTAACTTTGTTCTTCCATAATGCTCACAAAATTATGTAATGATTACATATTATATACATAACAATGATATATAACGTTGTTATTTCCATACGCTCTTTCAGTTATATAACAGTTATATGTTGGTTTGCTGGGTTGTGTTCTTCGACTCGTCTTCAATTACGTCACGTCTGATTAAAACGAAAAAAAAGGCAAAAGAATACAGTTTCACCTTGTAGAAGCTACGATGCTGCCATTGGCGGAGTGCCGGGTGCAGAAAGTGCACTGGCGGGTGCAGTAGAAGGAAAAAATAAACCAAAAAGACCTGAGTACGTCTTCCGATGATAAATTGCAAAATATTCGCGCAAGGATGTGAAAAAGTTGCGATCCTTCGCGTTCGAGCGGATCGCGGTTGCGGGCCGTTTAACGGCGAGATAACTCGGCGCCTCGTCTCGCCCGTTTTCTCCGCTTATCGAGATAAACAAGCGGTAAGACAGGTTAGCTTACTACACCCGGTATATGAGACTCGCGTAACGCCAGCCCGATTCGCGAGTCGCCGCCTCTCCGCGAGGAGATGCGTTGTCAATGGAGCTATTGCAATCGCTTGTTTACGCTCCGCTCGGCTCCCAGCTGACACGTAATGCTACACGGTGTCCACCGAGTAGCGCGGAATGCGGGCCAGAACGTGAGCGGGGCCGACGCGAAGGCTACCCAGTTCCCGCACTCTGATGTTAATTAAAACTATAACAAGTGGAGCGTAACGAGTTTTGCTTTCACCCGATCGCGATTAACGACGTCGCTATGCGCGAACGTTTCGTAGCGACGTTTCACATTGGCCACCCAATACATTCCATTATCTCGGATAACTTTTGCACACACCTGTCAAACGTAATTACCGCTTCCTGATTATGATCCTGCACGTGACTACCTGACCGCGCTTTCTTCCCGTGACCGCGTAATGGCACGCATTATTTCTAAGAGAAGCTTTTCCATCGGTTTGTATTAATGAAACTGAATCCTAACAATTGACTTGATCTGCGAGGAGGACGCGGCTTACATTCTGGAAACCATTTGACCAACTACTCGCCAGTAGTCGGTGATAAAAGACCGAGAAGATCGCAATCTTTTTATGAAAATATCGCTAAATGTATCCTCCCTCCAACTGTAATTAAAATACAGCTTGCCTCGTCTTTTTTGGGTAACAGTTGGTGATTCGAGCCTTCTGACATACACTCTCTCCTCGTGTTTACAAACGACACTCCTAAAGTATCCTAAAGATACGCCAGAACGATATCTGGATGGTATCTAAATATCAGAATATCTGATTATTCAATGCCGCTCAGGTATCACCGGGATATCTGACTGGAGTCTCATATATATACCTTGCTGCTTGGCATTGCGATCCGTCGCCAGTAATAATATCCGAAAACTCAGAGACTTGTTTGTCTTACGATGCTCAACAAGACACTCGGGTCACGAGTGCCGAATGGTACGTCTGTATCCCCCCCGAGCAATTTCAATGTTTCAGTCGCACGGCTAAGAAATGCCAGAACCAAACGACTCGACCTTCGTGCGCAGCGAATAGTCGTGTGGTGAAAATTAAGAAATACCGATTACCGGTTGCTTATCGCTTTCAGACCTGTGCCTCCCATAAAGATGACGCGGTCCTATAAAAAAGCTGCCACCATCGGAGTCGTCGGTGGAGTGATTATGGTTCTCGGCATAATCACGGGATCGCTCTGGGCCACTACGATATTCGATTTAATATTTGTAAAGGTACGTTCGAGGAGCGGGGAAACTTGATCTCAATCGACTATGCACGGCCATGTGTTTCTGATCCATGAACTCTTACGCAGCTGTTCACGTTGACGGAGACGTCTCTCTCCTACGACTTTTGGGTGGTGACTCCCATTCCAATGTACTTCAAGTTCTACATGTTCAATTGGTCTAATCCGCACGAGTCTTACGAAGGTGCGAAACCGCATTTCCAGGAAATGGGGCCTTACGTCTTTCGGTAACGTTACCTCCGTAAAACTTCTGCCACTGTACACGACTCCAAGAGTCCGCGACATCAGAGGTGTTTCTTTCGCAGTGAAATCGACTATAAGGTGAACATAACGTGGAATGACAACGGAACTGTCACGTTTCTGAGGAAGAAAGTTTGGTTCTTCGAAGAGTCCTTGTCCAACGGCAGCCTGACCGACGAGATTACCAATCTGAATCCGATCGTTGCGGTAAGGCAAGGTTCTTTCTCACGACTAATCGTGTCGATTTTTCATCTGTTTACCTTGTAATATCCAATTTCAGACGATTGCGTCTACGATGAAGCATCAGCCGGTGTTTCTACGTAAGCTAATTAACAACGTTATGGAGAGTCTAGGAGAGAAGCTTATCTTTACTCAAACCGTGAAAACGCTGTTATTCGACGGATACCATGACACGCTGCTGGAGATTGCGCGAAAGATGAACGCGACGAAAATACCCTACAGTAAATTCGCATGGTTCTACGCGGTGAGTGCAATGGGATCGAACGTGCATCGAGCAACGTGGTCTCATCGTTTGTTTTTCCTCACAGAGAAACGACTCGGATACTTACGACGGCTGGTTCAGCATGTTAACCGGCGCCACCGATTTGCACAAAATGGGAATACTACAAGAGTGGAACTACAGCAATCGAACGAATAATTATGAGGGTTCGTGTGGCAATATACGTGGAGGGTTGGGGGATTTGTGGCCACCTTTAGAGGATAACAAAACGGTGTCTATATTCATCCCTGACATTTGCACGTGAGTAGCAAAAGACATTATTATAAGTATCGTTTAAATAATATGTAAAAATCTACGTTAAATTGTGTCGCGATAAATGATGCGTCAATTTAAATCCATTCACTGAATTCCAATCTAATTCCTTAAATTTTTACATCAAGAATATAAAAATCAGCTTGCTTTTAACACGACTAATGTTTTAGACAAATTGGAGTACACATCCTCTTTACGAATCCTATTCACATAAGTTATTCATATATGTACAATATATATGTATAGAAATAGTATGAATTAATGGTGAAAGTTGCTTTTAATTCTTTCAAGTCTTGAATAATGAAACAATTAAGCATTAAAGTGTGTTTATTGTTTAGGACTTTGGATTTTGCATTCGAAAATACAATGCAGTATCAAGGTATAACAGGAAATAGGTATGTCGGGACTAAGGATATGCTCGATAATGGTGAATCTGTACCCTCCAGACAATGTTATTGTCCCAATGGGAATTGCGGACCTAGCGGAGCGTTAAATATTTCATCGTGCAAATTTAATGCGCCGGCATACGTCAGTATGCCGCACTTTTATCTAGCAGACCCGAGCTACGCAGAGAACATAACGGGAATGTATCCGGATAAAGAAAAACACGAGCTATCGATTGTCCTAGAACCGGTAAGTGTCTTGCGTAAAGTATCGCGATAAATGCAACAAACAGCAAGCACGCGACGAATATTATATGTAAGAAATTTTAAAGACCACAGGTATTCCACTCACGGTTAAGGCGCAACTACAGTTAAATATCTTGCTTCAACCAGTGGCTAATATGAGGTAAGTAGCAAGCGGGCACAACATAGATAAGGTAAAGAAGAAAAAAATATTACCGATGAAATATTATGAAAGATTATGAAAAATTGAAGAAAAGAAACGAGATTTTTGAGCTATTGTTACATCTATATAGCGACAAAAATGGAATGTATCAAAAGTAAGACGTAGCATTCTATTTAAAATACTGATTTTTGACAATCGAAGCCCTTGTATAATTAAAAGTAAAAATTGTTAAAAAAAGACACTGTAAGAATAATTACATTAAGTACTATTTGGATGCGACGACTTTGGATAGTCTTTCTGATAACGGATTAGAAAATTTATTTGCGTTATTTTTCAGCATGTTCAAGAATGTAAGGGAGACCTACGTCCCGATGTTGTGGTTTGCTCAAGAGGTTGATCTAACTGCCAGCTACGCGAGCCAAGTCAAGCTACTCTTAATTCTTCCATCGTTAGGTACCGTAACCTTCTTTGGTATAGCGGGAATTGGAATTCTTATAGTCTTTATCGGACTCTTCGTTTATATACGACAAAGATGGCAAGGGGAGGATAATCAAGTATTAATATCCAAATACGACGGCGATGTTAGAACAAGAGACGAAATGTAGTAATTGCTTCCTTTTACGCGCGTAATTATTATAAGTCAGACGTCAAGATTTAGATAAATTTTTTATATATAGTCATGTTTACTGTATACGTTATGGCTGAAACGCGAGTTCCGTTTAGTCCTTTCGTTAATTCAGAAAATACGCATCGATATTTGTGTTCACGTGGGTTGACAATCTTCCGTTCAAAATCCAGATCTACCACGCCCATAAAAATATTGCATAACTTAACGTTGTTGTCAAAAATAACATTCCACGTTTACATTGACGCCGGACTTGTAGGAATCATGCCCTTTTTCATGCCATAGACAAAACTAAAATAGTTTTACTTCCTTTTTTACTTCGCTTTACTTGAATTCGAGCTTACTACTTCTTTACTTTCGGACATATAATTATGGAGCAGAGATAAGACTGTATCAACGTCTTATAAATATTTGAAGCAGTTAATGTACCATAAGGGTACGAAAGTGCCTACTTTAGCTGTTAGTGTAGCTATGAATTTTCAATAAGTAATTGATAAATAACAAGCATAGTTCAAACTGTCAATAAGTAACTGTAAATATTGGAAAATTCCTACGTTTGTCAAGATATGAAACGAATGTAGTTTTTATATCACCGATATTAAAATCTATTAGGTACTTGTACGGTGGGACAATCTTCAGGCATAACTAAAACACCTTTTTGATCAGTTACACGTGAGAGCGTAATTAAATTTACTATTGGCATGTTATCAAAAGTAAACATAAATTCCGGTGTAAATTCGGTATAAATGATTTTAATATTGTGTATTAATGTTATATATTGTCTATAGAGGAATCTAGTGCAATAGAGTTGCGCGTAATTTGCCAAGCAATAAATGCGGCGCTAAATAATTATCATACGCGGCGGAACCAATTGTACGATTGCGACTTTTATTAATAATAAAATAATTGTGACATCTTCGTAAATTGTATTAGTATATATTTTCGCGCCAATTACACGCGATACACTCAAATTGTGATAAAATTGAACAATGCGTTCGGATGTCGAAGCTTTAGATAGTACGTTGCGGAGCAATGGGACAAATGTCGTATTACGTGAAATTACCAAAAGCTCGATTTGGATGAAAACTCCAGAGGAAAATATGTCGAGATAGTTTTGCTTTTACAAGGTTCGTTTCGCTCTGTATCCCGCAGCTTCAGACGTAACAAAACATACGGCGCACTCACACGAGATCGAACTTTCAATACTTATTGTCATCCTAAATATCTGTGATATACAATAGAGAAGATGTATATGATCGTGGAAATGTGAACGGAGTATAAAACTGTTTTATCGAGAGTGTACATTGTCATTCATTATACCCCTGTGCACATCGTAATTGTACGAGATTCCTGTAATGTAATTTTAGTTCTAGCTTTTGCTCCTTTGTTGCGAGACGAGGAGCTTACGTGACTTTAGGATCGCTTCCCTTACGAGAACAATTCAAGTGATTAGTCTGAAACTATAAAATTACGGCGAAAGCGTGTTCTTTCTTCCGCGTGGGTTGTGGCATAAATAAGTTTATCGATAAATCGATACTTCCTAAAACCGGGACACCGATTAAGTGTACTAAAAATATTAAGATATATTAAAATAAACAGCGTCCTACGTTTTCTTTACGTTTAAATTATTTTTTTGTTGTTCACGGACTCTTTGCAGGATTTAATTCAAATGGCACATTTGGGACACACTCTGTGTGTAAAGAGTAGTTTGCGTCGATTCTTTTTATCTGTCCTCGCTCAGAGAATTTTGCGCATTACGTATTCCAGTGCCTTTCCATTAACGCATCTTCAACGATAAGCGCAAAACGAAATTTAAATACGGCAAACAAAAATATATATCTTTTTGCGGTACTATTTTGCGATCGAACGATCGCTTATTAATTTCTCATTGTCTTTGGAATTGGAATTGTAATTAAATATGGATGTATATCGGGTGTACCTTTCCTATCTAAATATCTTACGCTTCCCTCGTATATAAACCTGCATCTTTTACTATGTTTCCTGGTTGTATCCTGTTATGTTCTCTCCGGACTTCAATATCCCTTTCCTTCAGAGCCTTTCCATGAATGTTAATGATAAATATGTACCGAATTCTACATATCTTTGTTGTCCTTTCATACAGCGTAAAGATAGAAAAAAATGCGAAATCTTTAACTTTACTCTTGACGTGTCTTTTATGTCATGTAATTAAATAGTAAATTCATATCTCAGTAATTACAACCGCGATTATCGAATAAACCGACTCCCGACCGAAACCAGGCAGTTTTATTCAAGGCGTGTTTCGTCAATATCGATTTCATACAATTCAATTTAATATTAAATAGCGTAATCGTGTTTCTCGCGCCTATCCTGAAAGCATTTCGGTTTTTATTGCGCTATAATACGTTATATCATAAATTTCCGTTAGAATTTATGTCATTGTTAAAATATAATAGCGTGTTTAAAAAAACCGAATAAAAAGAAAATTTGATTATGATTGATTACAACCGAACCACTCTTGTCGCGAAACAACGCAAATAGGTGGCTCTTGCCATTCTATTCGGCGACAGGTTCTCTCTGGCGCTATATGCCGTATCGATTGGAGATGACTGGCACCGGGATTTTATTTAACAACGGAAGTGTTTACTCTTTTATCCCTTCGTTCATTTTCCCCCTCGCCGCGAATCAATCCGAACAAATCGGCTTTCTGACATACTCAAAAATAATATCCCTCGAGATCGCGCCCCGTTTTTATTGTCGTCGTGAAATCGTCGGCATATTATTAGAATATACTCGGGTAAAAATAAACCGTTTAGTTTTGCTCTTTTATCCGTTCATCCGCTCCTCACGGTCACGTTCTCGCGGCTTGGAATATGGGTCGTTCAGGCCGCGCTGAAGAGGATCGTAAAGTACGGAGTCGACGGTGCTGCAAGCTCGACGCGGCAGTATCTCTTTCGTTTGTCAAGTGCAATCAGAGGAAGTTGTTTCGCAAAGCAGAGACAGAGAAAAAGAAATTATATCAGTACCTCAAAAGATCAGAAAAAAAAAGCGGTAAAGGAGATATGCGCTCGGTCGAGCTGATCTGTATTCCGCTGGTCCTCCCGGCCGATTTGATTTTTTTTTATTTTTTGAAGATTTAACTTTATCTCTTGTTGATTTATTGCCTGCAATTGCCCTCCCGGTGCCACGTATGTCCTCGGAAATACACAGCGCACGAATAACATTTTCTATATTCGAGAAAACTTTATACTCTCTAAGGGAGACTTGCGAATATTATAAATATATTTATATATAATAATTATTTAAATCACAATATTAGAGTAAAGTGTGTCAAATCTTATTTCCGGCGGCACGTTAGTTTAATTTACGTTTTTAAATGCGCGGGGTATGTCGCTCTACTTTTCTTGCGTTAAGATTCAAAACGCAAAAAGTCACCACCAGAGACAGAAAAGATATTTAAATGCAAAGTATACAAGTGCATAAGAAACGGAATACAGTTATAAAAATTGTGACAACGGGCAGATGTAGATTCTCAAATTTCATTTTGCCCCTTTGGAATATAAATTCAGCTTAATTGTGCTTATTTAGCAATTGTAATTGTGAGTTTTGCGCGATACTCCAGCACATGTTTCTACAAAGTATTTTCCAACATGTGTATATACCGATATACTTGCTCCACACTTTTCTCTAAGGTTCAAGAGGTGGGATGTCGTTATCAGAGAGGCAAACTCCACTTGCAACTTGAACGAATGTAAAAAGAGGGACGTTACTTTCTAAAGCGCGTTACCCTAAGCGTCGCTTATGCCTCCAACTTCCCAAGTCGCGGCGGGACGGCGAAGGCAGCGTATTGTCCGCGGAAGCCGCCGCGGGACGAAAATTTTTCATCGTCAACGATCCGAGATGTTCATAAACCGTGCAAAACTCTATTAATCAAGTACCGTCCGAATTTGGCAACCTGTCGTGGTGGTCGCGCAATCTTGCGCGCACATGCCCGGTATGTACCGCGACACCGTCGTCGCAGCCCCGGGGGAATAAGATTAATTAACATTAACGAAGAGGTATTAAACCCGATTCCGCAACGGTGGGACGACGAGTGACGACTGGAAAATGTAGCTCGCGATAAATCGCCGAAGATAAGATAAGCGGGGGGCGGTCCAATGGTTGATGATGAATGAACTAGCGAATAAACATCGTGGGACGATGAATAGCACGATAAAGAAGCCCCGCGATTTGCTGAAAAACGTTTCGCAAATAACACATCGAGCGCGATTTATAATAGATATGCATGGCGATTTGTAATCGGAGCATAAAATATTTAAACTCGCTCGTCGAATCCGCGAAAAAGTCCTGCTGCAATAAAAGTGTCGAGACAGCGATGGTTTTCGAGTTCTAAGCGATTGAAAATAAACATCTTTTTCACGAATTAAGATTTAGAATTTGGAAACGAATATTGGCGGTAAAACTTTTTCTTCTTTGCGTTCAAAAACGGAATAGAATTTTTTTATCTCGCCTAATTGTCCTAATTGTCACGATTTACAATGTTAAGACTAAAAATACTGTACAATAATCACCTTTGAGTAGGAATAAGAAGTAACTGAAATTCGATTTTGACGACTATATGCTCTTGTAGTTTGGCCAATAAAGATTGCGTAGAATCTTATTATTTCTTCATAGAGTTCAGAAATATATTTTTAATTTTTCCATCCGTTTTAGTTATTTGAGTCACACATTTTTCATAAACTCACGGGTAAAATTCATTGAAAATGAAATTTTAAAAAATTGTAATTGCTTCCGTGAAACGACTCCGGATTTTTTACAAGTCTCCGAACAAATGTGCGAACAATCTGCAAACTTTCGGTTCAATTCCCAGTATTTCAAAAACGGGTACTAAACGTTTCTAACAAGGGTGTACTTTTAGCGTTTTATACGACAGTCAGGAATCGTCTTCTACCGTGTCTTTGACACGAAGAACAAATTGAAATAAATAACGACCGTGCGACGCCACGCCACCATATATCACGGTTATAAACTTTTAATCAGAAGAAATGATTAATGGTTTTACACGAGCACGATAATCGGGGTGTTTTCGAAAACGTGACTGTATTGCCGCGTTATTTCAAGAAAGTGAATTTGGGTTAATGCCGAGGGAATACGTGTATATGATATAGGAACAATTTTCTAGATTGTTCCCATATTTTACGTCATATCAATTAGGCGACCGCTCATTTCAAATTTCCGTCTTACTTAGCAGATTACTGAAACGTATCGAGAGTTTCTTCCATAATTAAATACCGGGTCTCGATATCCGATAAATAGTTTCCTGCATACAATAGAAAATTCATAAACGTAATTTCGAAATGTCAAATCTACAAACTTGATAAAAGCATTAATATTTCAACACTTCCCAAGATGCACGGTGAGCATTGTTTCATATCGCAGCTTTACTAATGAGAAACGAATATGAAAAAATGTACCTCAATAACGTCTCTTTTATGAAACGCAGTGGCAAAGTCAAAGGAAAATTTAATATATTTCCCTTTAATAACGCATTCTATTGGAGATTAATATTGGATAGATATTTGCTTAACTTCCGTCGTTTTCGACATATTTCTGTTTCACTTTTTAGTTATAACAAAAGCCACAAATTAAAGTCCAATTAAGGTGGCTGTTGCACGAAGGAGCGGATAGTATGGGTGGTTTGGTGGAGCTTCTTTAATTTTTATAAATTTATGTGACTTTTTCATTAAAAACAGGCACGTTTAAAAATATGTGACGTTGTCAAATCTCAAAGAGTTGTGAGATTTCTTCAAAATATTGTATTTTTTTATTTTACTATTGAGTATTCACTTGCATAGGTCGGTGACCTCACATATTTAATAGCGCATTTGAATCCTTATGACATTTATTATGTTTATCTCGGTTTTTGTCGAGATCTACACAGTTGGAAAATTTGTGTTTTCTTGTTAAAAAAAATGCCGGTTAAAATTTTTGTGTTAAATGATTAACACATTCATGAGTTAATTTAACATTTTTGGTTAATTGACCTCAAATGTAAAATTATTAAAAGACTGAAAAGAAATGTTAAAACAACACAATGTGTACTTATTTTTCAATCTTACACAATACATATGTTCTATATTATTAGTAACAATATTTATCTGTTAAAATTTACTGAATAAAATGTTGATTTTATTCTATATTACATAAGTGAGTGATTTAAAACCGTCATTTGACTTATTACATCTGTAAAATGTTTGTTCTGTCTGTATCTGTAAAATTACATTTTTAAAATTCATTTTACAATTAAAAATGTGTTAATTTTACACAAAATTTGTTTCAAATTATTTTGAGATTTGCATTTATTTTGTGTTAAAATATTAACATAGAATTAGTGTGATCATTTAACATATCCATATTATGTTAAATTAACTCACAAATTTGTGTGGACCGTTTGGGACATGTGATATCTGCTAAATTTAACACAAATTTGTCAACTGTACTTTGTCCAGAGCCGGTATTCATAGTTGGATCTTATATTCAAGACCGTCTTAAAATTATCTTTAGATAAACTCAAGACGGGGTCTTGAATATAAGACCCGACTATGAATACCGGCCTATGAAATAATATTAACCCTCAAAATGCTTGGTGATCGGCCCACAACCCCTATGTTAAAAAGTACAACTTTAACATTTTTTCTTTCTTCTATTTCATCTGCGACCAGGTCTAACATTTTGCGTACCGATAGATAAAACTTGCAACTACAACGTACTTAAATTTCAATTTTATCTACTTTTAATCGGTTTATGCAGAAGCCACCTTAAAGTGCAATCCGTTCGCAATTGTTCCAAAAACATGTGTGAAAATAATTTCGCGAGGAGTCCTCTCGATACATCATTTTCCAATGCGGCACTCGAAGATCACCACACTCACAGAAAAAATGTCCGGATCCAATGCTATTACACTTCAATATCATAAAATAGGATCGATATAGCGCTAATCATACTTATTATAGAGAAAGGAATATTTTAATCTTAAATGAAAAATTCGAAAATCTAGAATCGTCTTTCCTCTAATATCGCGGTGTAAAATGGAGGGAAAATTTATTCTAAACGCAAGAATATATAAACTTACAATTATATAAGTTACTCTTGTCTCAATATATAGTAAGTCAATCTTTTTTAATTCGATAGAGGAGAATAAGAATTATTTATTTTATTTGGATATTGTCTCATTTTTATACTAAATGAAGTTGTAAGAAATATAACATTTTTTGTCTCGGTAACAGAAATCTGAGGGTGCAGCGTCTCGACATTATTGTTTAGAAAGAATCTGCTCGTTTGAAGGGTTCACCGATAAAAAAAAATATATATATTTTTTTTTATATCGCCGCGTATACAGATTTCGCGATTCCGCGGCGAAGGAAAATAGTTAACGCGTTATTAAGGCAGATGGAATATTTCGGTCTCCCCTAGATTGAGCAATTTTCGCGGCGTGCAAGCGCGGCGTCGTGACCGACGTGCACACCTCACGGCCTCGTTAAAACAGCGCACCTCAGTTTCGCAGAGTCCGCCGGCGCGTTCGCATCCTTCCGCGCGGAAGGAGATCGGCGCTGTACCTCCGCTCCGGCGTCGGGGCTGTACTCACCCTCTCCCCCCACCGGTGCCCGAGCAAACACCGTAACGATCCTGAGGAACCGCGACGACGGCCCGTACGCGGATTCGCGCGAACGTGCCCGGAGAGACGCGGTCTAA